GTGCAGATCTGAAATCACATAGTTCATATGTTTTGTTTTTACTGCATAATTAGCTTTTTTGTTTTTGCTCTTTTATAACAGTTAGTTGTTTTGGGAGGTTGTATGGTCTTTCAGGTCATGAAGCAAGATACACATATGCTTATAATAGCCATAATCAGCTATCTGCATTCAAACACTGTGCAAGCTCCCTAGAGCACTGCCAGTACTGTGTGTGTTTGTGTGTGTTCTGTTTTTGTGGGGATCAAATGTCCCCAGAGTGATCAAAACATGAACATTTTGAGGTTGTGGGGACATCTGGCTGCTCTTCATGAGGAAAAACGTTCTTTAAATACAAAAACTATAGCTTTTATTGTACATTTTATATTACATATTATTACAGAAACTAGTGTATAATGTAAAATAATGTAAAAGAGGACAAAGCTTTGCATTTGGAAATCATTAGAAAGGTTAGTGTGAGGACTTCATGCATCGCCAGACTCAGTGTAGGACCTCACAAGTGTAGTATTACTTCACTGTGTGTGGAAGACAGTTGCTGTATTGTTTTGTTCCTCTGTTCCAAGAACAGCTGAAAGCATTTCTCACACTGTTTCAGTGCTCCATTCATGACCAGTTCCAGTCATAGAAAAAAAAGATCTATTACTGAAAAATACTGAAAATGTTGCAACAACACACAATTCTTTCTCCTGAACCATCAATGAATGACTCACAAGTTCAGACTGTAGTGTTGTGGTATAGTAGTTGGTTTTCATGCTAAAAATGACCCATTGACGACCAACACCCACTTGATTTCATGTCTTCCAGAATACCCAAACATGGAAAGTGTGCGATGCTGTATACCAGAGGCCATTGGACACTGATCTGGGGTTGCTGCGATACTGATACCAAGAGTAGTAGCACGATACCAAAGCCACACAGTGCTATGGCAATCAATTTAAAACACTTGGCATTAGATCCCTCAGTGTTTATTGAACAGAACACAGGAAATATCCAAATTGCTTAATATCTCTAATCAAATTTACTCTCTTTTCAATACTCTTCAACTGTTAAATCAATCAAGTAACTAAATAATTTAAACATGGCCTCATTTGGCATATTCTGAAGGGAAAATACACGAGACACAAACATAAAATTTAGCCTAACATTCATCACACTGTGTTACACAAATACAAAATGTGTTATATCTAGGAGTGTAACAATTCACAAAATTTAGAACTCAGTTTAATGTGACACAGTGGTTAATGCGTTTTTTGATACAACAAAAATAGGGATTATCTAAAAACGTTGTTAGTACATCCTCTAAATGGAATAAACTTAAATTTGGTATCTTTGTGCGCATTGTAGAGCCTCTTTTATACTTACTTGCTGAAATTAGCATATTGGAAAAAACAAAACTATATATTAAATGTGCCATCTCCTTTGTCCATGCCACATGTCCAGGGTGTTTCAGCCGAATGACCACTGGGATAGGCTCCAGTACCCCCTGACCCAGGAGGATAAGCTGCTTAGATAATGTGTGTGTGTGTGTGTTAAATTCAGCAAATAAACAGTAATTAAACAGTGCATTAAAATGTACAGATGTGTATTTTTTGTGGAGGATGTGTTAGAAAATCAACAAGACCAGTGAGTAAATTTCATGATGAATGAACCAAAAGAAACAGCCCAAAATGACTTGGAAAAATCTCTGATTCCATTGACTTACATTAAAAGTAAAGGAGTTTTGTTCTTTTCCTGTAAAGTTATCATTTTGGAGATATGAGGTTTTCTTCCGACAACAGCGATATGTATAAATGTATTAAAATTCAAACGTGCACATGCAGTTGTAGTTTAAGAGAAATGATCAAGGATGACAAGTAAATTTATTGTTTTACTGGTGAAAAAAGCTGAATGAATGAAGTGTTTCTTATATAAATATAATACATACATACACCATTCTACCTAATTAGTTCAAATGTTGGTCCCACAGTAAAAAAAACTATTCTAAAAAAGTTAGACATTTACAAGGATTATCTTATGATCTATTTAAACCTAAGGCATTAATTGAGATAGTAGTCAGCTAAATATATACAAAACCATTAGTTATAGGTTGCTTTCTGTTGGCTGTCCCAAACCGTAACCCCTAAATTTCAACTCAAGTTAAATTTTTAAATAAAAAAAGTTTATTCAGAAAATGCTGTGCCACATTTTCATGTCACTGCTGAAGAGTTTTAGTCTTATTAACCACACCCAGGAAGTGAGACTGCATCCCTGTCCCCCACGGCCACATAGTGAGCAGTTAGATCCCATTATTTTGTAGTAAATGTGTCCCACAGTCTGAAAGTCAGTGTGTAACATTAAGAATTGTCACTACTGAAACATCTTTTTTTTGCAGTTATGTAAATTTTTGTGTTTTAATGGAAAATAATCAGATTTTATGTGTGTACAACTATTTAAAGCTGTGTTTGCTAGTCATGTACTGGCTCTGCTCAAAATTATCTAATTGTCACCACTGAAACAGTCACTACTGAAACATTCAATAAAGTTTCAGTAGTGTTATGATCATTTTGCTAGTAACAAAATGGAATGTTTAATAATTTATTTTAATAAAATAAACATAATTAAAGATAGGGTCATTCAAAACATTAAACATTAAAGTCTGAAATGTAGTTTCAGTTCTGACTTTGAACCAATTCAGTAGGATTATCCAAATATATGTATATTGTGTGCAAAAAAAAAACCTATCTCCATTTTTTACGTTTTATTTTATGTAATTTTTTGCATAATTTGGAAAGTCCAGTTACCTTTTGACTTGTGTTAAAACAACATGATGAATGGGCCAATAGAAATGGTCCAAAATTAAGCAAAGTCCATTCATCCTGACATGTTCTCATCAATTTGAATGTCTGTCATTTCCAGATGGTCGAAAAATAGAGCTATGGGTTTTGATATAACAGTGGTAAAATGCTACTGAATAAAACTTATGTATGTTATGCTAACAGATGCATTTCTGCCCATCTGGGTTAAATTAGCATGTGTAATTTGTTGTTTGTTAGCTTGTTGAAGTAAAGAACGGAATGTACTGAAAGCTGGATAATTGAATTGTTTGCCACGCTGTAGTACTGAAAGCACTGGCGATCCTCTCTGTGAGCTTTCAGACAAGTGTGCTCCAGTTAGCCTCGCTGACTGACTACTGCCATAATTCATCCCTTCCATCCAGTACAATACACAAAGGATACTGTGAGTGGGATTTCTGGACACATTTCCACTGTGCTCGTACGCTGTTTTTCCTGCACTTCAAAAGGCGATTACAAAAGATGTCTGTGCCGTTACGTGGGACGAGCCGCTTCTGCTGCTTCTGCTACCGTTCGGCTAGTTTGTGAACCAGTGCTGAGAACATTTATCAGATGGGCTAGGCAATGTGCAAACATTACAAGACCATTCCAGGGAGGTTCATTAGGTCACTGAGATGAAGAGAAAAGAAAGAAAGAAAGAAAGATCTCCCTCTTTTAGCTCTTCAAGATGTTATCAGCCAAGCAATGTGTTTGTCTTGGGACAGAAAGAGGGAAGTCCTACATACAAGACTGGCCTCTCCTTCGCTTCAGCGAGCCTCCTTTTTCTGAATGGGAACTTAAGTCACATTGTAATATTCAGTTCAGTTCGCTTGATTTGTGTAGCACTTTTTAGCAGACTTTTAATGAGCAAGCCAAGAGTAACACTGGCAACAAACCCCACTCTCTTCCTGTGAGGAAGAAATAGCATAAGCATATGTGAGGTAAGCTAATGGCTAATGTTAAAAACCTACCAGAAAACTGACAGAAAAAAATTGGTGGACCACCATGTTACTTGCATGTTATACATGAGAACGTTGCAGGTAAGATGTTCTGTGTGAGTTACTGAATAAATTATATGTAATAATGTTGCAAACAGTGAATGAAAGCTAGCATGAGCCAGCTAGCATTGTGCAGATGAGCTCATAAGCTTTTTAGCAATGTTAGCATTTTGTTGTGAAGCAGACTTAGAAAATACACTGACCACCTCTCTGTTTCTATACTTATTGCATATTAGCCCCCTTTTAACCTGCTCTTCAGTGGTCCCCACCCCCACAGGACCACCACAGAGCAGGTACCATTTGGGTGGTGGATCATTCTCAGCACTGCAGTAACACTGACGTGGTGGTGGTGTGTTAGTGTGTGCCGTGCTGGTACGAGTGGTTTAGATACAGCAGTGAGTTTTTTAACACTGCGTCCACTCATTGTCCACTTCAGTAGACACTCATACCTTGTTGGTCCACCTTGTAGATGTAAAGTCAGAGACAGTAGCTCATGTTGCACAGTTTGTGTTGGTCATCCTCTAGTCCTTCATCAGTGGTCACAGGTCACAACCCACAGGACGCTGTTGGCTGGATATTTTTGGTTGGTGGACTATTCTCAGTCCAGCAGTGATACTGAGGTGTTTAAAAGCTCCAGCAGCACTGCTGTGTCTGATCCACTCATACCAGCACAACACACACTAACACACCACCACCACATCAGTGTTACTGCAGTGCTGAGAATGATCCACCACCCAAATAGTACCTGCTCTGTGAGGGTCCTGTTGAAGAACAGGGTGAAAGGGGGCTAACAAAGCATGCAGAGAAACAGATGGACTACAGTCTGTAATTGTAGAACTGCAAAGTGCACCTATATAGTAAGTGGAGCTGATAAAATGGACAATGAGTGTAGAAACAAGGAGGTGGTTTTAATGTTATGGCTGATCCGTGTAGATGAAGTCATTAGAGACGACTTCTCGATGACTAGCATTCATAATGACTAGCATTCATGATGACTAGCGTGCGTATCTTTATCCACTAAAAATAAAGCAGCAGGAGAGCTCCCTTAGGGCCTGTCCTCTTCAGTTCAGAGAATGTAAGCAGCTGTATCATAAGAGCGTGACAAAGAAACTCGAGTCATTTAATTTTATAGGGAATTTACGAGCCTCTTTAAACCTTTATCTTCTCTTTGTTCTTTACTCACTCTCCTCCTCAGGGCCATCGTCGGTCATTAGCAACGATGACGACTCGGCTAGCCCTCTCCATCACGTGTCGAATGGCTCCAACACGCCTTCGTCCTCTGACATGAACACAGACACCGTCATCATTGGTATGACCAAAATCCCCGTCATCGAGAACCCCCAGTACTTCCGCAGCACCAGCAGCCTGCTCAAATCAGACACCTGTGAGTAGACATGAGTGTTTTATCTATATTTACTGTTCAGCTGTCTACTAAAAGAACAGTATTCAAGTATCTAAACTAATGTTTTATATTGTTATGAATCAAAAATAAGAACATTAAAGGTCTGACATTTACTTGTTATGCAGATGATCCATACCTGACCCTTCAGGTTTACTGGTTCATCTTTGTGTTATGAGCGCATGTGATTTAACAAACTATGCATTGACTTACAGCATGAAATCTCTACCCTCAACTCTAACTTTTTACGCTGTACATTTGTCTTGTTTTTGAAAGTTGTACATATAGCTCCACTTACAAAGCTAAACTCCCAAAAACTATACCAATAAAACAGAAAGCAGTGATTTGTAAGTCTGCTTAGGCCTGTAAACAATACAAAGACAAGATCTTTAATGTTTTACCTTATTAAGTTTATTGTTTTTTTGTAAATATACACTCATTATGAAATTGATGCCTGTGACAGATTCCAAAAAAAAGTTGAGACAGGATCAATTTAAGATTGGCAACATTGGGATATGGTGATGATGCAATTATATTTGGGTATAAAACGAGCATCCAGTAAAGGCCTAGTCCTTTATGAGCAAGGTAAGGTCGAGGCTCATCACTTTTGCCAAATGCATCAGGAAAAAATCCAACGATTTTAGAACAACATTTTTCTGTGGTGCTTAATATCATCAAAAGATTCAGGGAACTGGGAGAAATCTTTGTGCATAAAGGGCAAGGCTGAAAACCACAACTGTATGCCTGTAACCTTCCATCCCTCAAATAACACTGTATGAAAACAGCCATGTGTCTGTAATGAATATCGCCACATTGGCTTGGGAATATTTTAAAGAAACGTTGGTGCATGCACAAATGCAACTTAAACCTGTACTATTTAAGCCATATGTCAACTTCGGCATAGTGGAAGCCAGCAATATCCAGAAATGCTGCTGACTTCTCCCAATTCTCAAACTCATCTGAAATTGACTGATAGAACCAGATGTCAGGTTCCCCAGGCCAAAGAATAAGGGACCATCCATTGTTACCAACATTAAGTTAAAAAACTAGGGTCTGTTATGGTATGTGGGTGTGTTAGTACCAATGCATGGCCAACTTACACATCTATTAAGGCACTAATATGGATATATATGCTACATATGCTGCTCCTAGACCAGGTTTGTCAAACTCAACCACTAAAAGGGCCATATTGAAAAACAACAAATCTATGGTCCAGCTGTGTTTTCCTTTTAGTTTTACTTAACATTTTGCCATGACCTGAACGGGCCATTGTTTATTCAAAATATCCCAAAATTACAATGGCAAAAAATAGGCACTGAATACTTGAACAATTCAAAAATAATTTTAAATAAAAACAAATTGTTTTATATAAAACAATAGACTACATTAGTTGCAGATCAGTGTTAAACCTCTTTGAATGTCCCCAGTGTACAGTAGGTTTTTCTGTTCTTTTTTTTATTGTTTATTTTTGTGGTGCTGTCCAATAGGTGGAGTGCTTGCTGGGAAATGTAGTACAGCTCGTGTTGAAATAGGCTAATATTAATAAAAAATGAAAATAATTTTGCAGGCCAAACAGGATTGTGCCACAGGCTTAAATTGACCCATGGGCCTTGTGTTTGACACTTGGGTTCTAGACAATGACCTTTTCAGTGGAGCTCGTGCTTTGTTAACATGACGACACCAAACCACACTATCAAATGCAAAATGCGACAACGAAGGCCCAGATGTGCAGCTGAAAACTTGAAAAATGAAGAATAGAAAACTGGACCACTTGTTGTCTTCAATCCTCAAACGTAATTAAATGTTGTTGAAAGGAAAGGTGATGTAACAGGTGATGTAACAAGTTACTCCTAACGTTTTTTGGAACATGTTGCAGGCATCAAATTTGGAATGAGCAAATGCTTACAAAAGTTATAAAGTTCCTAAGGTAAAACATCAAATATAATGTTGTTGTACAGTTTCTTTTTCAACACAAGTCAAACAGAATCACTGCTTTCTGTTATTTACTTATTTTAGAATTTTAGAGATTTACAGGTTTATGGATGTGGATGTCAGCTTGAGACACAATATCTCATGTCTGTGTTGCTACATTCTCTGCAGTTCTGTGTCACACCCTATATATAAAAAGACTAATGTACAATTGATCATAGTGCTATTTTTACAGTAAACATGTCTTATTTGAATAACTGATGAATATAAAGTTTAATTTAGCTATTTGTGTATTGGAATAAGCTTTCAGTACTTGTGAGCCGTCCTTCTGCCCCACTGTTCTCACCGTCTGTCTCCAGGCCCGTCTGTCTGTCCCTCTTAATCCGATGCATGTCTGTGTGTTCTGCTATTTGTGTCTGCCTATAGATAGCCATCTGAAAATATCCTCAGAGTAATGCACATCTGCCTGCACACACACACGCTCCCTTTTTACACCCTCATATTTCACCTCCCTCTTTATTCTCCTCCTCCTCTCCGTCTCTCTGTACTTTCTTCCCCACTCTGGTTCCTTTTAATATTGGGTTATGGTGTGCAGTGAGTTACTGAAGATCGATGCAGCCTCATCATCTAGACCTCGCTAATGTAATCGGCTGACTGGCTAGTTTTTCTTCAAAAGCATTTCTTAATCACATCAGAGATAAATCTCAGAGAGCTGCGTTCCCTCTCTCTCTCTCTCTCTCTCTCGCTAGCACAGCACACTAAACGGCTGATTAATCTCCTCTTATCTCCACACTGTCCTCACTCTGTTAGGGGACGTTTGAGTTCACTTAGCTCTGTGAGGCATCTTTGTTCATCCCAAGCAGAGAACCTGTTTTACACATTTAAAAGCACATTATAGCACATTTGTAACACTTCACTTTGCTTTTGAAAAGGACTGCAAAAAAATAGGTGCAAGTTTTTCTTTTACAAGTAGCATCGGTCAAAATGGAAATGTAGCTTTAAGGCTGGCTTTACATGGTAAAACTTTCATGCAACTCATTGCATGTTGTGAGTTGCATGCAACATAATTTCCACACAGCTTTACAGTTACACAAAGCACTTCAAAAACAATGAAAGTTACACGCAACACATTTGATTGCTCTACTAGTTAAACCAGTGGTCAGCAACCCAAAGTGTAAAGAAGAGCCATTTTGTCCTTTTAACCAAAATCAAACCACCTTGGGAGCCACAGCATTTTATGCCCATTTTACCATCTTGGCTGTAAATAATGTCTCAGTATGTGCTACTAGTATGGACTAAAAAATATAAATGAAAACACAGACTTACTTTGCTCTACTTTAAGTTTTAGCTCAGTTATAGCTGCTTTTCTCACATCTCCGGCAGGAAACTTTTCCTCAAAAGTGAAATAGTTTCTTGTAAAATGTCTCTCAACTTTCAACTTTTTTAACAAGGCCACATGTGGATCACAATAACTGCAGACTAAAGAAGACAAAACGGTGGCACAAGAAGCCATTTAAACAGTTGTTACCTAGTGGCTAGTTAAGCCAGCTCGTTACAGAAACATTAGCTTCAGTAGACTTGTTTGTATGTTGTCATGGCTCAGGTAACTGACAATGAGAAACTACCAACCTTGTGTATATTCAATCAGAATCTTATTTTCAACCATCCAATGTAGTATCTTCTATTTTGTTTTCTTGTCTGTTGATCCTGTCAAGTCAGTTGTTTGACATGATGTTGTTTGATATGATCACATTAATATGATACATTAGTATCATATCGTAGTATTTTGATTGGCTGTTTCATGGAACTTGTTTGACAAAATTGAGACAACTATTGCAGCTGAGTTTCAAGTGAATTGCAGGACACTTTACATTATGCAACTCAAGTGCAATTTAGTTTCTTGTAGGTTTCAAGCAACTACAGTTGTGTGCAACTTTCATCGTGTAAAGCCAGCCTAAAGAAGCGTGTATGTGTGTATTTTCAGTTGTCCAGCACATTAAGAGGCACAACATCGTCCTGAAGAGGGAGCTGGGTGAAGGAGCCTTTGGGAAAGTGTTCCTAGCTGAATGTTATAACCTCTCACCTGACCAGGAGAAAATCCTTGTGGCTGTAAAGGTACTACATCCACAATACATGAAGATCATTCTGTTGGCTTTTTAGAGAACAGGATATGGTTTATATCTTTTCAGTTAGCTTTAGTATGTCAGTTTTAGGAAAAATTAGCCATATTTAAATAAACTGAAAATAAACAGTCTTACTAAAAGTGTGTGATTTGTGAGAGTGAGGACTAGAAGTGCATACGTAAATTTATTTTTTATTGATAATTACCCAGTTGATTAATATTTATAGGTATTTCCTAGCACTCAGTTTGAAGTTTGAGTAGTATTTTGAACCATGAGGCAAATTGCATATAATTTAGGAAAAAAGTTGGTTTAAACAGGCTGGTTACTGCATGGTAAATATTAAAACTATCTCAAAAATAATAAATATACAGCTGTATGCGACAGTTTAAACACCCCTGGTTAAAGTACATGTTTTTTTTTTTTTTTCAAATTGAAAATAACACATCTCCAACAGGGAACAACTTTATCTATGGGATTGTTATGCTAATTTTAGTGTACAATTTCTTTATTTGAGTTTAACATATTCGGGAAACATAAAATTTGCAATGTAAAACTTTTGCACAGGCTACATTTTATGTTTTTTTTCTTAGAATGTCTCAATATGTTAGCAAATAGATAGTACTTGTGCATTAAAATGTGTGTAGAGGATGTGTTAAGTAATTTTCATCTAGAAAATCAAAAATACATGTAATTTAACACTCAAACTAGGGGCACTCAAACTTTTGCATATGACTGATTGTGACTTGATCATTAGCCACATTTGTCAAATGTGTAAAAAATAAAACCTAAACCATAATTCAAAGGGAGCCATGGCACAGTAAGCAGCCCTGCAGCAGCCTGTTTTCTTTCTGTATTAAGCTCTTATTTTCTGGCAGAGGTCAGCGCTGAACCTGTGGGAGATATCAGATTATGGAGGTAAAGGTCAAATCCCATTTTTTATTTTTTCCCCTACCCCTTGTTTTCTTATCTCACCCTGTCCCTTGGAACTGAGTTATTAGGGGTAGTGGTTGAAACTCTTCTCCTACGAAATGTGACAACACTCAAATAAAGGAGAACATTACTTCATTAACAGGCAACCAGTGGTGCTCTGTAGGCGACCCTGCCAGTCTGCAATGATAGTAGAGGAGGGTAAAGTTCAGCCACCTCGCTGCTGGGCTTTAGTTACATTTAGGGCATCAAATCCTTTCAAAGAGGGGGATTCTACAATTATTTATTATCGCCCACCGCTAATTCTTCGGTGATATGAAGCTGAAGTCAGCTATTCACCAGCTTCTTGCTTGAATTTTCCTGATCCACCTTAAATGGAGCAGCATACTACAAGCGGTTTTTGATGCTTGTTATGAAGAAATGGGCCATAATACATTGAAATGACATTAAACTAAGATAAGACAATGGTTCTCACAAATTTTTAATGCAGAAAATTCTCACATTTGTGGGTTTCTTTGGTCGCTCGCAAAGCCATCTTGCCGTATTTTCTTTTTTTCTCATAACATTCTGTTTGGAGTGTGCCTCTGAAAATGTATCCCTAACACTTCGCCCCACCCCTCTATCTCAACAAAAATCGAGACACCCTTCCCCTAGACGTGAACACGCAAAACGGAGGGGTAGGGCTAAGTGGTAGGGGCGAGGGGTGAAATGAGATTGGGCCAAAGTTCATTACTTTCACCATGTTGGTAAGAGTTTGTGACTAATGTAAGAAGAAATTGGTCCAATTATCCAAACACTGTTAGGATTTCTTCAAGTATAAACTTCCCCAACTACTAACCACTCTCTGATATGTGTGTTTATGTGTAAATATGAATTTGTGTGTGTGTGTGTCTGTGTGTGTGTGTGTCTGTGTGTGTGTGTATGTAGACCTTAAAGGAAGCCAGCGAGAATGCACGTAAAGACTTCCATCGTGAGGCCGAGCTGTTGACCAACCTGCAGCACGAGCACATTGTCACCTTCTACGGCGTGTGCGTAGAGAGTGACCCCCTCATCATGGTATTCGAGTACATGAAGCATGGAGACCTCAACAAGTTCCTCAGGTGTGTGTGTGTGTGTGTGTGTGTGTGTGTGTGTGCGTGTGTGTGATAGCAGCTGTTTTCCAGCAGTGCTTCCTCACATCCTTCCTCTGTGTCCTTCTTCCTTCTGTGATCTGTTAAATGATAGGGGTGCGGTTACCATTTCGAAACCTGTTCCAAATCCACAGGAGACATGAGAAATGTCTGAGTCTCAGTACTGTACCACCCACATCCCCTCCGTTTGTTCTGTAAGCACTACTTCCCTCAGCACAAACGCTGCTCAGTGGGTGTCTTGCGTGTCTGACTCAATTCAATTGAATTCAGTTCAACTGAAGCTTTATTGACTTGAGCATATTTAGTTACAGCTAGAGCCTGGATTATTTGTTTGAACTCATCCTGGTTTGGACATCATTTCCCAAATATTTGTCTGGCTACGGTCAGGTTCAGATTCTTAACGTGGAGGAAGAATGCTTCTCATTATTACCTACAAAAAATACATATTATATTTATGCATTCGGCAATCAGTCTCATCCAGAGACGCTTATAATTTAGTCATGTTACAGAGGTAGGTGAATGTAGTGTTTTGCCCAAGAACTCTTAGTGGTGTAACATGATGTGCTTGCTCAGGTGGGAGATCAAACTCTTGTCTGCCATGTGGGGGGCAGCTAGGTGTTACTAACTGTGTTATACCAAGACTTAATATTTAGCCTTATATGCAACTTCTACTCTTTATTTGTCTGTGCTCCCTGCTCTCTCTTTCTTTGTCTCTCTCTCTCTCTCTCTCTCTCTCTGTGCATCTCTGTATCTCTCTGTGTATCTCTTTCTCTGTCATTCGCTCTGTGTATATCTCTTTTACTGACTCTCTCTCTCTCTCTGTGTATCTCTGTATCTCTCTCTCTCTCTCTCTGTGTCCCTGCAGGGCTCATGGTCCTGATGCTGTGTTGATGGCAGATGGTCAGGTGCAGCAGCAGGCCGAGCTGACTCAGTCTCAGATGCTGCACATTGCTCAGCAGATCGCAGCAGGGATGGTCTATCTGGCCTCGCAGCACTTCGTGCACAGAGATCTGGCCACGAGGAACTGCCTGGTGGGCGAGAACCTGCTGGTGAAGATTGGAGACTTTGGCATGTCGCGCGACGTCTACAGTACAGATTATTACCGGGTGAGGGCTTCTCACATCTCCCTGTGTTACTTCCTGTCTCTCTCTCCCTCTCTCTCCCTCCCTCTCTCTCCCTCCCTCTCTCCCTCTCTCTCTCTCTCTCTCTCTCTCCTTGTGCATAAAGTGGTCCTGTAATCAGGTCAGTTTAATACAGATTCATTGTTTTAAAGCAAGAAATCTTTTACAGTCTGACAGTTTGTGGCTATTTAAATATAGAAATATCAGAAGTAGAGATAATAATAACAGCAACAGAATTAGCACACTATAACATCGTAAACAACTACAGCAACCATTTTTATTGTCCTCATAATTCATTTGCAAATCAAGGAGATTTTTACTTCTTAGATTGTCTATTTTTATTTATTGATTAATTTTTTCGTCATTTATATGTCCGGAGCCACATTTAAAGGTTATGTTTGTCAAGTGACTCACCAAATAATTTATGAATTACATTATTATATACAGCCTTCTGCCCAATAAGCGCTGGGATAGGCTCCAGCCCACCCCACAACTCAGTAAGATAGGCGTCTTAGAAAATGTTGGTGTGTGTGTATTATTATATACAGTACTGTTACAAGACCATCTTTCAAGCTGTTCATCAGGAAAAAAAGCAGAATTCAAATTTAGCAGTAAAGTACACAAAAGCCCCAACAATTAAATTAAACTAACCTAAACTTTTCACACCTCCAAAGTTCAGTTATAGAAGTTGGTTGTGTTCTCTGTTGCGTAGACACTCCCTCAGCTCCCAGCGCTTTCAGCAACCCACAGAGATCTGTGTGTCCAATGAATTTAATTTTACATGAAAAATAAAGTTTAAGTGTCTCAGACACAAATATTCACAATTTACACATATACATATGCACCAGTCATTCTAAAACTATTGAAGAAAGAACTCATACAACTAAAATGAAACCAACTTTACTGCTGACGGGACTGTGCTTTCTTTATGCATTTCAGAACTGTTAGTTGAGGTTGGCTCACCTTGGCATTAACATCTGGCCACATATTGTTCTCACAAGTTTGATTTACAGCAGGTCAATCTGTAGAATTTCACAGATCAACAACAAGAATAAAAGAGCTGATGTCCAGATCAGATCAGTTTGCTGCTGTAGAATTTGGCCATATGGAAACCAGCAGAAATGACTGATTCAGATGTCTTCAAGAAAACACTGCAGATATCAGTTCTACCACTAAATATAAAATACTTACTAAAAATTCTATAGATTGGCTGAATAAAACACAGTGAACTGCTGCTGTTGGGGGGATCCTTCAGAAATCTCTCATGGCAGCAACCCATCCTTAAAACTCTTAAATTCTACTTTTGATCTGAATGATTTGAAACGGCACATTTCAACAAAAGTTATGTACGTAAAAGTTGAAAGTAAATCTGCTAGTAATCACTCTGTTTTTATAATGTACCTGTAATCTGATTACTGTCTTTTTTTACTGCAACTTTTACTGAATACAGTTACTTTTTTGTATCCTGGTTATGTAACGCTGTTACATGCATCCTGTTTTTACCCAACCCTTGCATCCACTTGTTTGTGCACTACCTATTGTGGTGATTTATGTGCACTGTGTAAGAGTGCACTTGATATTCTCCACTGCACTACAGATAAATAGCAAGTGGCTATAGAGTCTAAAAATAATGCAGTATATAATGAATGAGGGCCTACATAGCCGTCATCTGTGCTTTTATTTGTCATTTCTTCTGTGCAGTTTTCTACCTGATTCACTGTTCTAACTCATCTTCCACTGAATAAGACTTTGTTATTCCTAAATGCCTCCCATGCAAACTCTACCAAACTCCAACTGTCAGGTTTTTGGCTTTTGTAGTGATAGTTTAACAATGATACCAAAAATACGATAGTTAAGTGACATCATACTAACTTGTCATGTACTAAATAGTCTATTGTAATGTTTTCCTGTACGGATCTGGAGTACCCGAGTGTATCCCATTGATTCTAAATTCACAAATATGTCCCCTACCATTATAACTACAGTTTACCTTGAAATATTATCATTTCAAACACCTTATTATTTTGTCATCTCACACTTCAAATAGTCTTTCTCATGACATTGAAATGTTAAAAATAAAGTTTAGTTTTTAAGAGTTACAAGGGCTAAATGGCACCCAAATTGTGTTTTGGCTTGTAAAACTGGAAGAAGTAGTATTACTCATTCAGGAGAACGCAAAATCAACATTATTCTCATGAAGATATGATGGCAATAGTAGATAACTCAATTACGTCCTCAGCAGAGACATCCTTCAAGGACATCCCTCTATTAACGCACTTAATAATAACGCAATAATCAAATTCATCCACTTGGGGAAGGGGTCTGAAGTTGCACATTGGGTGCAATTACAAATTTCCACCAGAGAGTCTCCAAATCCCCAGAAATTATGTAGTGCAGTGTTAATAATCTTGTTGTATCAAGCGTGTCGAAGTAGGGAAAACACTGAAATATGCAGGAGAACGGTTGTGAACCACTGGCCTTGACCCTTAACAGGTGATGGAAGGCTTCTGTGTTAGAAATCAAAGCAGAGGTCATGGTGAAGAACATGCGAAACCTAAGCATTTTAGCCTGTTGATTCTTAGACCTCACTGAGTTCATGTCTGCAGATTATGAGCACACAGGAGGAAACCACAGAATCTATAGGCTTTACTCAGAGAACGAGCGCTGGAACATAAGATCCAGACGCACTGAAAATAAGTGAGGATCAATATGCCCTCCATATTCTATTCCCCGCACTTATTGAGCAGCTCTGGAGAAAGCGTCCTGACTGTACCCAGTCCCCTCTGTGATGTCAGCAGTGTTTATGTGCGTGAGCATGAGCATGAGTGTGTGTGTGGCCCCACATTCACCGTCAGTAAGTCTCTCTCAGATTAAAGGGGAGGGGGGGCGTAGAGGGGTGGACATGGGAACAGGAAAGGGGGGGGTTTCCATGGTGACGGAGAAGGAAAAGGACAAGAGCGCCGGCGCCGACAGACAGAAACTGAAAAAGTCATTAAAGAACTGTGATTAGCATTCACCTCCCCATCCGCCATCTAGAGTACAGAGACAGCTGGAGGGGGGGGGAGTCAGGGGGGTGTAGAGGAGTAGAGGCACTAGAAAGGGAAGAGACAGTAAAAGGAAAGTAAGGAGAGATGGAAAAAGGGAGGAATGAAGAAGGATAGGGATGGAAAGAAAGAAAGAAACAGACCCATTATGGGTGTTCTGTTATTTTACACTTGAGATGTTGCGTTCATTGTAATTCTCCCCCTCAGTGGATCCACCTTAATATCCAGTGTCATTTAAAAAGATCTTTATCTTCGAAACCCAAACCCAAGTGTGTGTTTTTTTAATGTAAACATTGTTAAAGTTTCAAAACATACCATTCATGCAGTCTATCCATGCTATGGTAGCTTGTTTACACCACTTGAAAAGAAGGTCATATAGGATGTCATAATAGTGAGGAAGTTTTTCATAGTTATGACTTACTGTCTCATGGATATGACTTAGTATCTCACATTAATGGTTTAGAACATTTGAGAACGTTTCTCTTAATTATGACTTAATATCTCATAATAATGATTAAATTGTCATAATGAGTTATTAAGTCATAACTGAGATACTAAGTTGTAATTTTGAGATAGCAACTCATAATTATGACAGTAAGTTATTATGAAATGTTAAGTCAGAATTACGAGATACTAAGTCACAAATATGGCATTGTAAGTCAGAATTATAACATAGTAAGTCAGTATTATGAGATACAAAGTCACTATTACGATAAGTCATAATTATAAGACAGGATCTCATAATTCAGAGAGGAAGCCATAATTATGTGATACTGAATAACAGTTATAAGATATGAAGTCATAATTATGGGATACGTTCTTATTATTATGACCTACTGAATGGCTGTATTTTTTTTCTGTAGTAGAAATGGGTGTGAAGCCTCAACCATGAACACGTTGTGACTGTCCATTCAGCCTGCTTCAGTTTAGCCCTGCCCATTCATGTCGAAGCGATGTAGAGTGTTGTTACTACGCACAATCTGTAGTAGAGTTATTGGACTGGAAGAAAAGGAGAAAACATTTAAATGTTGTGCTCTTCCAGGCTGTCAGGAGGCAAATCCACCATCGCAGTCTTCCAGGATTTGAAGAGAGAGGCTGAAGTTTAACATCTCTGAGAATTCAGTCCAACCTTAACAGTTTGTCCGGTACATTCTAGCCCGGACCACTTTTTGAATGTCGTGCAACACAGGGCAGCCAATCAGAACAGGGGTCATTAACATATTAACATACTTAAAAGCACAGTAACAAAAACAGTGTATAAAGAAAGGAAAACTGCCCAAAAATGTGATATATGAAGCCACACAAATAACGAGTGCAATTCAGAGACAAAATTTCAAAAAGTAAATGTAGAGTATGGGGCCCTTTAAAGCAGCAGTAGTGATGCCTTGCCAGTAAGTTTACTGAAGTTCAGGCATTTCTAGGGGCCGATCACGTGATCACGCTCTCCAGCTCATGAGTCAAGAGCCGAACCCGGCCCCTTTTGTGATTGTAATGCAAGTCAGAAGTGTGTGTATGTGTGTGTGTGTGTGTGTGTGTGTGTGTGCGTGCGTGTGCGCGTGTGTTACAGCCTCAGGCGCAGAATTGATTAGCCCTATAGAACATCAGTTTCCATAGAAACAGCTGCTGTGAAAAGCCAGCGGCCGAGGGGCGGAGCCTGGTTGTGAAAGCTGGTTGTGTAATGCTGGAATCTGGCGCTGAATGACATTTTTATGGAGCCTTGTAGATCACTGTTGCTGACCTTATGAAACTTCATAGATTTCTGTGAGTTTATAAACCTTTATAAAACACCACTGACACCATGAATCTCTATAAGCTCTTGTTACTGACATTACTGAGAATTACGAGCATAAAGCCTGGGCTGCCATGCAGCAGCCATTCAGCATGGTGGTTATCAAACTTCATAAACCTCATGAAGCTTTAAAAGCTGAGCAATGGATTTGTAAATGCAGGGCATGGATGCTGGAGGACACATGCTGAGTCTGCATAGTCGCCATGTTAGCTGATAGCTGTCCCAGCCAGGACAAATGGAAGAGGCAGTGTTCATTTGATGAATCATGTACTTCACTTGGTTCACAAATAAACGTACCTTGTTAGAAACCCTTACCTTATAGTGTAATAGTTAAAAACTGTACTCCATCTGTTATAAATATAGAAGAGGAAGTCATTTTATTACATTGAGGGAGTTACAGTGCACATCACTCATAAAGGCTAACATGGCTAGTTATAAACAGAAGCTAATGGAGATGGTTAGCAAGAACTCATTTGCATAATGCACACCGGTCCCAACTAGTCATCATTCGCTATTACCAGCTTAAGCGTTTCTGACTGCATGAATTATACATTCAATGGCCTCTTTATTAGAAACCCCTAATAAATAACTAGAAGCTCCACCTTGCTGGTGTACAGCTGGTAAGGGGGTAAAGATTTTAACATAGTGTCGAAAAATAGAAATAAATTATTGATATTGAAGGTTGAAAATGTCATCGAATCTTGACCTCAGTATCAAAAAGTGTAATAAAATCAAACCTATAAAAATATGTGCATCATTATACCTATAAAGATACTGCAGCTTTTCCGTTTATGTACAGTTTATGACTGGTTTTACATGGTGACACTTTCATGCAACTAGTTTTGTGCAATGCAGTTTCCATGCAATTTGACAAACACTCCACTATTAGCCAACAGCTTATATTTATAATACACCGTACAGCTCTGTCTACATAAAGTCATCTGCACTGTTATTATTGGCTGTTTCATGGAAACTTGCTTCAAGAAGTTGAGATGATTGAGTCTCAAATGAGTTGCAAGTGAGTTGCAGGAGGCTTTATATTATGCAACTCAAGTGGAATTTAGTTTTATGTGTCAAGTAGCTAAAGGTGCATGAAAGTTTTGCTGTGTTAAGCCAGTCTAAGTCGTTCTCAGTGGTCAGTTTTTGGTTCTCTGCCTAAAACAATATCTGGTCAACAGTGGACATGTGGTCAAAAACTGGCCAGTGGGGTAAAGAGTGGTTGACAAGTCGGCTTTTGTAATAAATTGGTCAGTTGCTGTATGGTCAGCTGACCTTTATAGAGAAGTGCCCTACAAAACCTCCATTCCAACCCACAGGTCTATAACCTCAGTCCACAACAGTAAAAGCCTTGGCAGGTATCTTTATGAGTGTATGAGTGTGTCAGACAGGGAGACACTAAGGTTCATAGTAGTGGTCTGATAGACTGCTTTTTTGGAGATTCTCCCACTCAGTAAAGTGTCTAGGCTCTGTGGGACTGATGAAGAAGCCTAAAAGCTTTGGCCCTTAATATTTGATGAGTCCAGTATGTTAAAACAATTAATATGAGGCTAATCCACATACTGCACTACAAATACGTAATTAATATTTCAGTGCAAACGCATTATGGAAAAGCTAATAAATGAAGCGATGGTTTTTTTGGGGTTGAAGCTTAGGTCAGTCCAATTCCCCTGGAGCCAACAACGTTCAGAAAGTTGCTGTATTACTTCAGCTCCAGCTTTGTAAATACAATGGAATTTTATCTTCAAAGTCTTACCCGTTTCTGCAATGTTTTTGTTGATAAATACAAAGAGAAAATGTTGGAAATGACTTCAAAACAAAGGCCTTAATGATTATTTGGACTTCATTGTGCATTGTATAGGCTGTTCCAGCTCTACTAAAGTTCCAGAATGGTGAGGAAAAACATTATAAAGTTCATCTTGTATGAAAATGATGTTTTCTGAAAAAGAATATGTACAGTCTACTTTTCTCAGTGGTCAGTTTACCACTTCAGATCCACGTTTTTAGACTACAGACAGTTAATCCTACTGCAAAAGCCAAAACAAGAAAAGGTCTTTGCAAAATGCTTTTGTTGGTTGGCACATTTTGGAAGTACGTGAATATCCTGAACAGGATTCCTTTTAGCTGCTGAACACTGGTATTTGATCTTAAAAACTTATGTGAAACATTTAATATATTTCTGGCACTTTAAACGTTTGTCCAGCAGAAACAGAAACAGTGTTAAAATGTCTCAAGGAAAACTCTGATCCTGAAGTACAGTATTTGTTTTTGTTTTGACTTTGTTAATTTATTCAGCAAGTGTATTCTGTATTTTTGACGTTCGATCTTCTGAATTTGCCTTTTAAAGGTGGGCGGTCACACTATGTTGCCGATCCGTTGGATGCCTCCAGAAAGCATCATGTACAGGAAGTTCACCACCGAGAGCGATGTCTGGAGTCTGGGAGTGGTGCTCTGGGAAATATTCACCTACGGGAAACAGCCCTGGTATCAGCTCTCCAACAATGAGGTATACACACACACACACACACACACACACACACACTCACACTAACTCTACAGGCATTAGCACTCTGTTGAGTGGATTGTTCATAATTCGTTATCTGTGCTGTACCGTACAGAGTGCTGTGTTATGTGCTGCACAGAGAAGAACATTCCCATTAGGATTAGTTTTAGGGCCTGACCGAAATTTTGTGCTGATAACAGTACAGATTTTAAAGATCTAGTAATTCTGTTATTCCATAATATTGCTTGAAATAATTATATGTTTATAATTTTAGATTCCATTTTTTTTAGTTGACTGACTGATATGATGGTCTCTTCTCAATTTTTGCACATATTCACAGTCTTAAATACTATATTGTAAAAGCATAAATTATAAATAATTAATTATATTAGGAAGAGAGCTATGCATCATTACTTGCAATTTTAGTTCTGTTAACTGCCTCTTTTATTTTTTTATTTGTTGATAGTTCTCTTCACATAAACGTTACCACTTCATAATAAAAATGTATAGATGATATTAATAAAAATGTTATAAAATGTTATAAATAATCATAAAAATGTTATAAAATCTCATTCTCTTGCTGAAGGTTCGATTTAGAATTTTGTTTTTCTAACCATGAGAGTGTTTTTGGTTCAGATTCACTTGTTCATCTCTATTGTGGTGATATATTTAAATAGGGGTGGTTCATACTGGGTTCTGCAGTGACTCATGCAATCTGAATCCAATTAGAAAGTTCTGGAACTAGACATGAGTGATCTTTGTCATAACTAGCTAGTTATTTTTGGATAATACATCAGAATTAGCCTTTTTCGTCAGAGTCCAAAATACTACTCAGACTTAAAATTGAGCATTAGAACCTGCTAGTAATACCATATCACCATTATCATGTCAAAACCTCCTATGTCCAAAATGGTCACTTTTCAGGAGAAGGGAAAAAATGTTCTTAAAGCTGCACTATGTAAACTTGATTGAAAGAAGTAGCATTACTGAGTCAGAAGGAAAAAAGCACACTGAAATATGGTGCATGTATTGCTGCAAGTCACCCTTTAAACCCTAAAATAGTAATTTAAAAGTCGGAAGAGATGCCGGAGTTTTTCAAGCCGCATCATACGACTTTACATATTATTATCACATGCACAGACTCAAAAAGAAGGTCTGGCACCAAGTTTCGGTCTCAATTGCTAAATCAACATTATACTGATGGAGATGTGATGACAGTTGTAGATAATTCATTCACATCCTCGGAAGACACGTCCTTCACCAAGCTTTGACTGAGTTCTCTTCGAATACTCTTTCAACATGCTTGCAGTCAACAGATTCATCCGCTGGGGGGAAAGAGTCGTATGATGTGGCCTGAAGCACAACTCGTGTTACAATATGTTCTTCTGCATGTTGTGCGCAGTTACACATTTCCACCAGAGAGGTCTCCAAATACAAACATAGAGTAGCTTTAAATTTGATTAGAAGTTAATGTGATGTAAGTTTTTTTCCAAGTAATTCTAAAGCATTTTATTGCTTCATGTAATGTATGAAATAATATGATTTAATATAATACATTTAATAATATGAAATGTTAACACAATTTGAAGGGCAACAGATACAAGGCTTTGTTCTGAATGCTAAATGATAAGGAAAAAAAGGACATTTTTAGCATCAACCAGCCCTTGCTAGAACATTTTAGCACCAATCATGTAACTGTCCATCATATCTCTTTCTTGCGACTGCTTCTGACCACATGCTCTTTCGCCACCCGCAGGTGATTGAGTGTATCACTCAGGGTCGTGTACTGCAGCGGCCGCGTACCTGCCCCAAGGAGGTGTATGACCTGATGCTGGGCTGCTGGCAGCGAGAGCCTCACACTCGCCTCAACATCAAAGAGATCCACAACCTGCTGCTCAACCTGGCCAAGGCCTCGCCCGTCTACCTGGACATCCTGGGCTGAGAGAGAGGCAGTGTGCCTGTATGTGTGTGTCTGTGTGTGTGTGGATCCCAAAACTGCCTCTGTTACCCCTGTCCCTCTCTTCTTCTCTCCTGTTCCCCCCTTCACTCCTGTCCTGCTCCTGTCATTCTAAATGTGTAGCGTGCTAGGCAGCAGGAGCCTCATTTATCAGTATTAGGAGCAGGAAGTGAAATACGACACTGAAAAATGACATTTATGGAGTTTTTTTTTTTTCGCGCTATCAGATCACTTCTCCACTTGGACGGAACGGATACTCGCTGTGCAGTCGCAGTGTCGCTGTAAATATTGTCTGGTCTCGACGCGCATAGTTTTTCCAGGACTTCAGGAACAGCACTGTCCATCCTCCGGAACTGGAAAAATAAAGTAACTGTATAATATGTACCATAACTGTGAGCGATGGAGGAGTGCAGTCCTTTATTCCTCCATCTCATCCTGCCTTTTCCCTTTCTGCCCATGCTCATACATAAAAACAAAGAGTGCAACCATAGCATGGTGATATACGGCCACATACGCAGACTTCTGAGGGAAAGAATGGGACGAATAGGGTTTCACATTTTAGAGACTTTAATGGAACTGTACGCATTAGCTGTTGACCAAATGTCATGTGGCAAATGGCAAGCCTGCTCACTACAGCACCAGGAGCCTTCAAGGCAGCCGTGTTCCTAATAGCGCACTACTGAAGGGGATATTGAGTCATTTGAGACGAGGCCATGCCCATGTTTCAATACTGTTAGTGCGCATTTAGGACAGGAGCCCAATTACCCTGAGTGGCTGATTATGATGGGGTAGGCTAAATTATGGCCTGCTTCTCTCCCTCTCTCCCTCTATCTCTCTCTCTCTCTCTCTCTCTCTCTCTCTCTCTCTCTCTCTTCTGATTTACCATTCAGTTGAGGCAGTGATGTAGTGCTCAAGCCAGGGGTTACGCAGCTGTTATGGTGTAATATATATTTCATTACAGTACTAATGTCTGCTATTAGCACCTATTCCCCAAAGACCCACATGGAATGCAGAGGAGAGAAAAAAGGGACAAAATGAAGAAAAACGATGGAAAATGGGAGTCTGAAATGATTTTCCAAAACACAGCCCGTTTAACAGTTTTATTTATTGTATCCACAAACTCTCCCTTCGGCAATGCACTTTTTAATAACAACAATAACCACATGAAGTAACAAAGAACTCTTGAGACTTGAGACACATAAATTCTCTTTTTCCGCATTTTTCCCTGCTTAGTTATCTGAGTCAGTTGATATAAATGTGCGCACCTACACATGAACACAGTTGTAGTCAGACTGTGGTGTAAGTCACTAAAGACTTGTAAAGTTGTGTAAAATTAGCTTTAGTCAGTTGTTTTTATGTTTGAGCTGTTTTTGTTCCCTTTATTTATGTATTTATTTATTTATTTAAGGAGGAATTCTGCTGATTTAACTTAACAGTCATTCAGAGTGATTTGATGTGGAGATGGTGATAGGAACCAGACATCTGAAGAGTTTAATGCTAAAGACAATCCGTCACAGAAAGTTATTAGTTATGAATATGAAGAGTTTGGCTTAAACAGTATTTTTTAAAAAAAACATTCATGGCATGGAGGTACATGCAGGGCGTTAGAAGGCAAAATAGTACCAAAAGAAAACATTTTTTTCAGATTTATTACTATTTTAACATTAGCATTACGAATGAAAACTCAGGAGACACGTGTAGGTCGACTTGTTTTAAAAAAAAAGTGGCTATATTTGCGTTGTAGATGTTGTGACTCCTGGTTCCTATCACCACCACTGCAAAGAACCCGAATCGTAACTTCCTCAACAGTGAACCATTTCCCATCAAACCACTCTAAATGACATCTCTTATATAGAAATTTAGTACAAATCTGTGGAATTCCACCATAACTGGATGCACTTTTGTATTTTGTTGAGGTTTCTGTCTATAAATTATTTTGTGTATTGATCAGAGTGAATGTATGAACTGGGTTCCCGTGGTGGACGGTACGGGCGAAAACTGGAAGTGAACTTGAAAGTTTGACCAAAAATGTTAACCATGCTAACAATGAATGACTTCCAGTAGGGTCGTTAGCATGACCTCATTTATGTAATGCTAACTGTTGAATATCGGTTTTCATTCAGTTGACCAAAAATGCATATGGCTATAAAACTGGTGCCGATTTTGGTCAAACATTTGGCCAGAAAAACGTCAATTATTGGTTTTTTGGTTCAAAAGTTTTTAGCCATGTTAGCATTTCCGGTCAGTCTTTTCCTGCAGGCATGCCGGAACAGGGCATGTCCTGAGTGAAAAGGCCTTTGAAGCAGGTAATGTATGAAGATAAAGGAATGACAGTTAAGCTTGCCTTATGTTAAACTCAATATTTCTCTTCTATATTGGAACAGAAAACTGTGAGTACATATCAACCAACCACCTGGATCTTTTAGGCCATTCTCCTCTAGTCTTTCTCCTCTAAGTGTCTAAAAGCTACTCCACTGTCCATACTCAGGCCATCTGGCAGCAAGCTGTGGGCCTTGTACTCTCCAGCCCCGAGGACGTATCTTCTGAATGCCTCATCATTAGCGTTGTTGAAGCGGCAGGCTGGATAGACGACAGCAGATTAGAGGAAACTGCTGCCATATTGCCTTCACCTGTCCAGGCCTCATGGAAAACAATGCTTGATGGACGAGACAGTGGTTAAGGATGTAAAAGAGGAGTTCCTAACAGTACATATGTGTGGAGAGAACTAAATGTCTCTTATTTTAGCAGGTCTCTTTATATTATACGCGGTTACACACTCAAGCAAAAACCCTGTTGACACAGAACAATGACATCAGTGTTACAGTACGTGTATCCATATGATCAGATGCTCTCAATGACGTTGGGGCACTTGTGATACATTGTATTTAATAAAAGTGTCATGTCTTACCATGTTAGCTTGTGTGTACGTGTGTGTATTGTGTAAGTCACAGTGAATTGTTTACGGCTCCGCGTTTATAGAGCAGTCAATACGATTACGTACAGTAGGCCTAAATTACATGGTCAGGCTTATTGACTTAAGGCCACATAACAGCTTGATTTACAGCTTTGTTCTTTACGTGCTATTGACTGAAAGCATGTCAAAGCAGATGATGTGGAGTGAAAGACACTGAAGTAACGTCCACTAGAGCTTGAAACATTTGCCTGAATCTGACGGGACTCAACTGCTTACGTCGGGTTTGGTCCAGTTCTGTCAGGTTTGATCAGGATGGGGCGTCAATTCTTAAGAACCTGTTCACTCGGGTTGTGTTCAAATTTCATGTTACAGTTCCCACAGCGTGCTGGAGTCACCCACTCAAGAATTTAGCACCGAGGTCCACAAAGCCCACGCCAAAAACATTTGGAATGTTGTTCTAAAGCATTGCTTGATAAATACATTCATTAAAATGGAATTTTGTATATCACCTCATTTTATAGATTACTTTTATTCATGACTTAATGATGGCTATTATTGTCGCTATGCGATAATTTAGGCAGCGCCATCTTATCAGGTTTTATTCAGTACTTTGGGTGATGATGGTCAGTTCCAGACAGAATTATATCGGGCTCTGGTCATTTTTGGACTCAGTTTGGGTTCGGACAAACATTTGATATAAGAGCGTCTTGATTGGATAAACATTTTGATACAGCAAAAATGAGGAGTGCCTGAAAATCATGCTTATGTTGACATATTAATGAACTAATTTTAAGTTTATTAGAACATTTAACATCTATAAAAGTACAGTATTTCTGAATAATGCACTATCCACACAGTGATATGTTAGCCCCAGCTAATATACGCTTGCAAGGGCAGTTTCCCCCTTGTTCTCGATTTTGAGGAGGCAAGCGTTTTTTTCAGAAGGGTTTCTCTCAAACTGGGCTTACTTTTGTTCATATTTCATGCAACATTATTAGAAATAAACTGTACCTAATTTGCCCCAGTCTTTAAATGTACTGTTTAATGCTTGTGCTTATTGAATTGAGAGGGTATTGAACAATAAAATAAGGTATGATAAGATTGTTACACTCCTGACGTTCACATGCATGGCTTATATATCCTTATCATTAATGAAAGATAGGCTGACTATTAGCCATCTTCAATTCAGTATCTGTATTCTTAGAATCCATGAGTTGTGAAAAAGCTGTACTGGTGCATCTCTGATATGTAGTAATGGGTAATAACAGTAATGGGCTGCTGAAAATGAAAACTACAGCATGTAGTATAATTGCTTTATATAAATCACTGCACACAATATACAAGATATGTAGGACATGGAGAGGAGGGAGAAAAAAGAATGAGTGTACTGATCAATCAGGGGATCAATACGGTTGTTTTGACACTGTACATTAAGCCCTAAGTAATTGCCAGAGGGCTAAATGCTTTTAAAAACACAGCCAATGACCCTCAGTGCAGTCCCTGTTGTTTTCACTCAATGCAGAGCAGAATCCTCTGTGGAGTTTGCAAGCGTGTGTGTGGAAGTGAATACAGACACTCCCTGACCACTTTATTAGGTACACCTGAGATATTTCTGAGGAGATTAGATAAAAGACAAAAGATATTCTGCTTGAATGAAAAAGGAGTTTCCAAAACTGGAATTCAAAAAAGACCCCCAAAGCTGACACCATCGAGCTTTCATCTTTGAGAGAGAGGAGAAAATCAAGCTCCACTCTTGCTTCACATCTGAAAAAATCCTCAGGTGTTTCTGTCCATCCCTCCACTGTGAGGAGACAACTCAGCGCTATGAGTGTGAAAGGACGTGTAGCTGTCAAGAAGCTCTAAATGAGAAAAGGAAATTAAATTAAAGAAGCTGCTGGTGTTCTCAGAACAATGGACTGACCACTAATGAGTCCAGACCTCAACATCACTGAATGTGTTTGGGATTATTTGGATTGTGAGAAGCAGAAAACTTCTAAGGCTGAACTTTGAGGTGTGGAAAACTATCCCTGCAGATTTCTTGGAAAAACTGAGAGCAACTCTCCTGTAGGTGCCCTTTGTAGTTCTACAGTTACAGACTGTAGTCCATCTGTTTCTCTGCATGATCTGTTACCCCATTCATCAATTGTGAGGACCCCGACAGGACCCTCACAGAGCAGATATTATTTGGGTGGTGGATCATTCTCAGCACTGCAGTAACACTGACGTGGTGGTGGTGTGTTAGTGTGTGTTGCGCTTGTCTGAGTGGATCAGACACAGCAGTGCTGCTGGAGTTTTTAAACACCTCAGTGTCACTGCTGGACTGAGAATAGTCCACCAACCAAAAACATCCAGCCAACAGCGTCCTGTGGGCAGCGTCCTGTGACCACTGATGAAGGACTAGAGGATGACCAACACAAACTGAATGGCAACAGAAGAGCTACTGTCTCTGACTTTACATCATACACAATGTGGTTGGTCCAAAGGTAGATGCATCTAATAGAGTGGACAGTGAGTGGACACAGTGTATAAAAAAAAAAAATCCAGCTGCACTCCACGCTAGTATCACTGCAGTGCTCTGTGGTGGTCCTGTAGGTATTGCTTTGAAAAATGAAATAATTTATTAAAATCTTTGCATTAATAAGAACATTGCCGTTGGGGTGACCGTGGTGGTCTCCCTACTCAGTGGTATCTTATTTAGCACCTTATTTTATTTAAGGTCTTATTTTATGGAGTGATATTAGCAACTTTCAGCCAGCATCTGAGATGCCAAATGGACCAACTTGGCAAGGGTGACCACCACAATCACCACACAATCAAATTAGCCAACACAGTGGATAACGAATAATATGAAGGTTGTGTTGATTGTGGTGGGTTGACGCATTAGATAAGCACTGTTAAAGCCTGTTTTCAGTTCACTGTTTTGTGATGTCATACAAACCATCACACCAATGTATATCCACCTATTCAGCCTGCAGCACTTCAGCTCCGCCCACTCATGCTCGAGTTATAAGGAGTGTTTTAATCTAGGTTGCGTTTTGAATGAGGCACAATACAGGACAGCCAATCATTTACATGCATCAGTCTTAAAGGCACAGTAACAAAAATAGTCTGTTTAAATCAAAGGGATACAGAGAGGTTGGAAAATGGTCATGTAAAAATAAATTATGACTGGTTTATAAAATAGCACAAACATTAGAAATGCCCTGTTAGAAAATACAGTTTAGACCAGCATAGCTGGTCACCAGCAAAACCAGCACAGTAGTCACTGTCCAAAGAAAAAGAAAAGGGCCAAACTTTCTTAACTTTCTGTAAGTTAATGTAAAGAGGTTTTATTCCAAGTGATTTTGGAGAATTCATACTGGTCCAATCATCATGAAATTTTCACAATTTTCACAATGTAAAGGACAGTTGCCGTGTTGAAATGATGGAGAAAAATAAAAATGAACAAAAATGGGGTACATGTTTTTCT